CTGATAACTGACTCCAAAAGCTCTCGAGAGACACATTGTGAGCGGTCGTCTAGGGCTATGTGCGCCCTGTGGTCTATCATGCCGAGTCCCTGGCTAGGGCCTGGCGCTGGGAGCAGGCATGACCAGACTCCAAGCTCAGACTGCACGTCCCCCAGAGCTCTGAAACGCAGTACAGAAACAGCAGAAGGGAGGGATGATAACTTTTCCTGCCTACTCTTTGGGGAGGATGGTTTGAAAGGATCTTACAGAACCCGTACGTCTGCAGTCACGAGCTCCACATGAAATCGGACTCTAGTCCCACACAGTCTTAAGTCCTGAGCGTGCTCAGGGACCCGAGCACCCTGGCTCTTACTTAGTGCAGTTCCTAGTTCTCAAGTCTGGTAGAATTTCTCAGGACCAATTGAAATACCTAAGGAGAGAAAGAGAGAGAGAGGACAGTTGAGGGCTGGATACAGTGCTTGGTGAATAGGTTTGATCCCTGGTACTCTCTTTCCCCCAGAAAACCACAGAACAAATTTAAGAACATAGAATGAAGAGATGATTTGTCATCTCCCAGAGCACCGTAGTTTCCATGTTCTGGAGCAGTGATGGTAAGCCTTTTAGCGCTTTCATTGATAACAAACAGCCGGCTGGGGCACACGTGCCATAGGTTCACGCTGCTCTACAGCATCATCAAAACCAGAAACCCATCCTAGGCTGAGCTTCCCCTCAGGCGCTGCCTCACACCTTATCTCCCTTCTCCTTGAGTCCCACAGTGTGTCTTCCGGTGAGGGAGATTAGGTCGCCCTCCTTCAGTGCTGTTTGTCTCCCCTGGCAGAGCTCTACAATGCCCTCTCAGCCAAGGGTGCTAGGTCTGTTCCCCCTTGCTCCTCCTGAGACCACCGCAAGGCACTTCCTCCTTCCCGAGCAGACTGGGCAGCCCACCCATGGCCTGGTGTCCACACCTCAGCTCTCCCCCTAGTTGACTTCCATGGGATCACTGGGGCCTGGTCACCGGTGAGCAAACACCACGGGGTGGGAAGCAGAAAGCGGCCCAGGCATGGCGTGAACCGCTGCAGCCAGCAGCAGCCTGCGTGGGCAGGTCAGTAGCACGAGGGCGCCGGTGTTCCAGGGCTGGGAGGAACAACGCAGTGGAGTGTGCAAGAGCTTCTTGGAGAAATCTGCGCCCTAGGTCAGTTGCACTGTCACTTTTCTTGGGGCTTGGGTCTGCCTTGCAGTGGGGGACCCTGGCCCCAGGAAAGAGTCCTTGCAGTCCAGGGCTAGATCTTGGGCACACTCGAGCGGCGTGCCTTATTCTGGCTTCTCGAGCCCGTTGCTGATGTTCTCCGCTGCTCAAGTGGGCTATTTTGATTTGGAAATGCCATTTATTTGCCTATGGTGTGCTTTCTTAGTTGGCTATCATGACTGCGTTCAGGAGCGGGTGGTGGAGCCCACCTCAGGGCGGTCGTTCACGTGCAAGCAGAGAGCTGAGATCCTCTGCTCGGATTCCGACTCTGGGCTCTGCCAGGAGAATATTTTATGTCTCATGAACTTTTATGAGTATTTCATTAATTATTTATGTGAATTCCAGAGCTAAGTTTTGCTAAGAAAATATGAAACAGCTCCTCTACAAGGAAAAAAAAAACACCCACGAATTCTGTACCACCTTGCCCCTCTCCCGTGCAAACCCCACGATGGAACTGTGTGCTCTTCTCCATATGCTTTTTAGAAAATAGGAACCTGGCGTGGTAAGAACGGCAACAATGACCCAGGACAGGTTCAGCATCTTCACATTCGAAGGTAGAAAATGCTACCATTTTGAATGCAGGAAACTTTATTTTTTTACTAGTTGTTCTAAGAATGCTACATGAAGTCCTAAATTTCTCTTTTCATCATATTATTAGCCAGCAAGAGTTTGCTGATGGAAGGGGTTGTTAAAGGAGGTCAGGAAATGTTCTTTTGAAAGGCGTAAGTCTCCGTGAGCAAAGGCCTGGACGGCTGTGCCCCAACTTTGGGGATTTATGGGCCAGTAGGTGCAACAGTGAACACTGGCATTGGAGATCCAGATCTTAAGAAAAGCCACTTGGCAGTACTCTGCTGTGAGGAAGCGGTGCACATTAATTAATATTGAGGAAAGCCCATTACATGTCTATAAGCTTAAATGGCTGGACCATTTGGACTGCGGCAAGTGATATGTTCGGCTGTAAATTCCAGTTAAGCTGGTGAACCAGTTAACTTCGTCCAGTTCAGTAGACCTAAATTTTAAAAAATGAATTGGATGATTCGAGTAGGTAAATCAAAATCAAAAGATGCTATAAAATATAGACAGAACCCCCGATGCCATTTCAGAGTCATGAAATGGGCTGAAAACATCTTTTATAATGACTTGGGAGACTGTAACTTTTGGGATACATAAAACAGAAAAGTAAACTGAGAGGCAGACTTCAATAAAAGCCTAGGGGTTTACAACAAAAGTGTTTTTGGAAATCTCTGTGGGTTGTGGATAATAAAAGCTTTCCTTTCTCTTGTGTTGGTTTTTCTTTTCTAAATAACTCAGGTGTTGGTCAGCATCCTTCACCTGTGCCAGGCGACTTGGCCTGGTAGTGTGCTAGCCACCGGGGATGCTGCTCCGAGGCATTTGCTGAGAAGTCGGTGCTTGCTTTGTGCAGAAATAATTGTGATTATTTTATGCCTCTCAGTTCAGTTTCTTTCCTTTTTCTTCTTGGAGTTTTTCTTTGCCCATTTTTTCCCCCTTTTTGCCTTTGCATGCTTATAAAATAAATCTCCTGCTCCTCCATTTCTTCTGTGGTCCCGCTGCGTCTTGCTGAGGTGCTTAGCCCCGCTCTCCAGCTTCTTTCTCTGAGCATCTGTGGTGCCCTCCCTGGGCACCCTGCCTCCCTGCCCTCCATGTGTGGACACCGTACATTCTGTTCCTCCACAGTAGTTTCTGCCGGGAAGTGCAAGCTGTTGGAAACTACAAGCCAATACGTTTTGATGGATAAGTAGTTTTTCATTCACTGTCTGGTTGGATTTGCTCTTGGATTTCTTTTCTATAGTTTCTTAGTCTTACTCTCTTTTCCAGCAAGAAGAAATTGTCATTTCTGTCTGACTTCCTTCTTTCTAAGGTGGGCTTTGGTCACATGGAGAAGCTCTGTGTTGAGATTTCGGCCTAGCTGACCGAATCTGAGCACTTTGGTCCTCCCTTGGCAGCTCCGGCCTCTTTCCTGGGGAACACTCTGCAGATAGCAGGACAGTGCAGGCAGGAGTCCGCACTGTGTGCAGGCTGTAGCTGAGGACAGACAGATGGGGCAGTGGTTGGCACTATCTCCTGACACCCTCTGTGTCACTTGGGGACAACCAGTGAGGTCTCGGCATCCCTGGGTGACAACAGCTGCTCACCAGGTCTCATAGGATTTTGTGATGGGAGGGTCTGCAGTTAAATGTGAGTCCCCCTCATTTTACCTGGGTAGAGACTTTGGGAAACACAGAGCTGTGCTGGTTAGACTAGGTAGGTGTGGCTGGCACAGTGGGAGCCCACTAGTGACAGGAATAATGTCACTCACAGCTTTTCAAAGTGCCCTCCTGTCGCCTACTTCATTCACTTTAACAGGACCGCTGAGGCCTCCCTGAGGACCTGGTGAGTCGCTGTGAGGAACGGGGACACGATTTTGGCCACTGCTGCCCTGGGATTCCTTGGGGAGGCAAATGATGCCAGTAAGAAGCCACTCAGATATGGTGAGGGCCAGACCAGTGCGAGATCATCCTGGGGTGGAGGACTGGAGCCATTCAGCCCTGTGGAAGAGAGGAGTTTTATGTTTCATTCCTAAGTTCAGAGAAAAGAAAACCTTGCCTTTTCTTCCCTCTGTGTTGTTTTTGGCAAGGCTCTGTAAGACTGCGGCTCACATGCACGGCACACTGGGCCAGGCTTTCAAAGGGCTTCTGTGCTGCCCGTGTGTTGGGTTTTTCAAGTCCAGCTACAGCTCTGGGAGGCGGTGGGGCTTGGGCGCGGGGTGGGGTACACCAATGGAACTACACATGTGCGGCCCCACTTCGCATGTGGAACTGTGCTGTTATGCGATTTGGTTTTCCTAAAGGCAGTCCCCCAAGGAGCTTTCTGCCTTGTGGACATCTCTGCCTGGCCTGCTCTGAACTCCCTTGATGAGGCAGCCCATGCCCATCTTCTTGGGGAGCCAGGGGAAGGGTGATTATTGTTGGAAATCCAACTCAACCCGAAGAGCTTAGGCAATGACTGTGGGGTCAGCGCAGACGGAAGTGGCTTTCAGCCATTTGCAGGCTGTCATGTCCTTTCTGGCTGGAGAAAAGTTAGGCCTCTCAGAACTGGCAATTTGGTAATAGAAAGTTCTGAGGATTTGGTTTATTCTGGGAGAGATAGATTTTCTTCTCTCTGCCGTGAGTACTGTGATCCCTTCTCCTGTTACTGGTAGAAGAGAGCGAGTCATGCTGCAGAGCAGACAAGCCCCAGAACCAGGGGCTTCAGATGAATTATGTCTCCCTGTCCCTGCATGCCCTTGAGGATCAGAAAGGAGGTGCCTTGCTGGACATCTGGGGTCCCTTTTGCACTAGCCTGCCCTTCAGCCATGGCAGGGGGATGGGCACAGGGTGAGTCTGGCCTGCAGGGCCACCTCAGCAGCTGAGGACACTCAGTCTTGCCCTGAGCTTGGAGGAAGGAGGAAGAAGCGTTCTGAACTGCAGCGTGCCTGTCCCGCTGTCCACCAAGCATCAGCATCCATGAGAGAGCTCTCTTTGCCCAGATGGTTGGTGGTGCCAGTGTGGTTTCTGTGCCCTGTTTTGAGTGGGCAGCAGTGCTGCCCAGCTCCAGGAACTCCCTGTGAGCTGGATCTTCCCTGTTGCCCTTGGAATCTTCAGATACAGCAGCTTCAAGGACTATTGATTCTTTGAAATGCTTCTCATGACAATGACTGGGATGAAAATGAAGGTGAAAAATAAAAACTCACTTGAGCTTGGTTTAATTTTGCCTTCTCTTCTCATTTTTTTAAAAGTGTCTTTCAAAATCTTAATCAAAGAACATCATTGTGATCACATTATTCAGCATTTGATGGATAAAGATGAGGACTCAGAGAAGGTGAGTACAGTAGATGCCTCAAATTTTGAATATAATTTATAGCCTTCAGTTCAGCTTCTGGGATTTGAATATAATCACTATACCATCACCCTGTACCACCACTGCCACCACCACCACTGCTACATTACCACCATCATTTCCACCATTAACTCCTCTATCTCCATTACTCCCACCATCAAAGCCACCTTCTCCATCCTATCCACCTTCTCCATCCTATTCACCTTCTCCGTCCTATCCACCTTCTCCATCCTATCCACCTTCTCCATCCTATTCACCTTCTCCATCCTATCCACCTTCTCCATCCTATCCACCTTCTCCATCATATCCACCTTCTCCATCGTATTCACATTCTCTATCATATCCACCATGTCCATCCACCTTCTCCATCATAGCCACCATCTCCTTTTTTTTTTTTTTTTTTTTGCTGGAACCAGGGATTGAACTCAGGCCCTTGTGCTTGCCAGGCAAGTGCTTATTCCACTGAGCCATCTCCCCAGCCCCAACCATCTCCATCTTATCCACCATCTCCACCATCTCCACCATCTCCATTATATACACCTCCATCATCTCCACCATCTCCATCATCTCCACCATCTCCATCATCTCCACCTTCTCCATCATCTCCACCTTCTCCATCATCTCCACCTTCTCCATCATCTCCACCTTCTCCATCATATCCACCTTCTCCACCATAACCTCCATCTCTATCATAACCACCATCATAAACACCACCACCATCATAGCCACCATCTCCACCATAGCTCCCAATATCGTATGCACCATTTCTAGTACCGCCACCTCCAGCACTACCACCACTACTCCCACTACCTGTCACCCAAGTAACATATAACATTTCTCTTCAGACTATCTTGGGGGCCAAAAATCAGGCCAGAATTCTAGAAGTTTACTTTGACTTCTCTGCATTTGTGTAATCTGAAAATAAAAAAAGTTCTATGCAGGAATACTGGCAACTTGGAACTGTGTCAGGGACTGGGATTGGACTAAACTTAACTTTTCTTTTTCCCTCTTTTTAAAGTTTCCTTTCACTATTCTTCGACTTCTTTTTTAAACATGGAACAGAACCAAAGGTCAGAAATGATGCACTTGAGTAGCAGGCCTCTTTTTCTCCTTTTTAAAAAGCTATTTATTTATTTATTTGGTACAGGGTCTCACTACACCTGAGGACTCATAGTGATCCTCCTGTGTCAGCCTCCCCAGTGCTGGGATTACAGGAGTGTGCTACCACCCCGCGTTCTGGGTCCTACACGGCACGCCAAGGGTTCCAGGACCAGCACGGCATGTGGTACAGGGGACTGGATTGCCTGGCATGCACTTAGATCACGGAGCTAGCTCCCTAGCCCATTTTCCTCCGCTTTTCTTTGTAATTTTTGAGATGAGTCCTCCCATGTTGTCCTGCTGGCCTTGAACTCATAGGCCAAAGTGATCTTCCGTCTCAACCTTTTGGGTAGCTGGGACCACAGGAGCATAGCACTGCTCCCAGGTTACCGTCAGCTTCCACAGCTGTCTATACAGACCGCTCAGATGTGACCCTTTCATGTAAGACCTTGACCAGCACTTCCGGGGCTGGGCGTCTTTCCAGCACCTGGTCCGCAGGCTGTAAGGAAGCTCGAAGGCCCAGACCAAAGCCAGGTAATGTGATACCAGAATGCGAACGCCCAGGGCGTCACCTCCGCGGATTCACCTGCCTGCTCCTGGAGGCTGCTCAGGGTTCGGTTCCCTCCGGGCGAGGGAACGGCTGCGGGAACCTGTGCTCAGTCTCTGTAGCTCCGACAGCGCTTGCCAGCCCTCAGCGTCCGCGTCGGAACTCACTGGCTGGCTGGCTTGGGAGCCACTCAGAGTAGGGAGGTTCTGGCCAGAGCTCTGCCCTTCCCCCTTCAGATATTAATAAAATAAGGACATTATTAAATTACCGACCCTGGCTCCAATTGAGTGTTTGCCAAGAACCCCGTGCTTCTACCTCACATACTACATTTTATTTTTCTTTTGGGGATTTGTTTTCTGAATCAGTTTACTTCTTCGTGGTCCAATAATCACTAAATGGAATTTTCTCCATCTTTCATCCTTCATCATTAGGGTAAAAAAAATACAGTATCATTTTCTGAAAAGAAATAAATATCTCAAAATGAAAGACAATATTTAGCGACCAAAAGAAGAGAAATCCCTCAAGAGTACTACTTTTCTGATGACTCAGAACTGGAAGTGATTAAGAGCTTAGCGCTGTAAAGCGGCGGGCATCCTCCTCTCCTTCCCTCCGCTTCATCAGAAAATCAGACATCACTCTGCAGGCAAGTGGGAACCACGGTAGAACCCTGTTAAGCGAGCTGCGCATAAATTCCTCGGCGTGGTTTGAGGAAATGCACAAAGGAAGTGAAGAATATTTACTTTATTGAGCTAGTAGTGCCTGCTAGAGATTAGTTGAGCCCGTGAACCTTAGGATAGATACTGGTTAGCAGTTTCCTTTCTATTTTCTTAATTCCTGACTGTCAACTTCAACTTGAGTAGAAGTTTAAACTGCAACGTACTAAATGCTGAAAGTATGTTCCTTGGCTACGAAGTGAGGTTGTCTCAGATTGCATTTTCAGATAAGAATGTTCTTAGTTTGATTACTTGAATGGCTGCGTATTATTTTTGTGCACTCAGTATTTGAAGTTCCTGTGGATTTCTGGGATGCCTAGCGATCTGGCACGCTGTGCAGGTGTGACTGTCAGGTGCTTTGCTTTGGTGGCGCTAGGTGGTGAGGCTTCTCACGTCACTTCATCCTGCATTTTGTCAGAAAACACCGGTGAAAGTTCAGTCGAGAGTGGGGCTAGCCAGACATTTCCAAGTTAGGCTGCTGTCTTTTAGTTACCCAAAATCACAGCGTAACATTTAAGTGTGGTTGTGTTTGGTTTAATCCTCGGCATCTTCTTCACGGATGACGGATTTAGTGCGTATTTAGCTCTTATTGCGGATTTAGGGAGGCGGAGGGATACTTGGAAGAGACCATGTTACACCAAGACAGCCAGCTATGTGCGGCTGCAGACTGAAACAGTAGCCCGGACGTTGTTAGATTGTGTGTGTGTGTGTGTGTGTGTGTGTGCGTGCAGCGACTTACCTGTTTATTTATCGTGATGTTAGGTACACACTCTACCACTGAGCCGTGACCTCAGTGCCAGTTCTTAGGGTGTTGACAGGTACCTACGAAGTACACTCCGAGGCGAGGCGGCAGGCCAGGGCATTTTATGGCCGTTGTCCAGCCTGGAGGCAGCCGCCCTGTCTGTAGTGATCCCAGTGACTGTCCCTTTGTAGATGAAGAAATCCGCATGCGATCTCTGAGCGGAAACCTAGCTTTCCTAAGGGCACCTCACTGGCCTTAAAGAACCAGGATGCTTCGTAGAGGCCAAGCTGGGCCTTCGGACAAATGAGGGGCTTCTTGTACGTCAGGCAGCAAACCCTGTGTGAGGGTGTGTGTGTGTGTGTGTGTGTGTGTGCACGCGCGCGTGGGTGGGTGCGCATGCACGCGTATTTTACTTTGCAGCAGTGGAAACTGAACCAGGGTTTGTGCCTGCTTCTTCTTTTTTTTTTTTTTAGGTGCCTGCTTCTGGTCTCCATGCCGCCCTGCCAGGGTGTTGCATTGTTTTAAGGCTCTTAGGAGAAAAGGTGCTCAGTGCAAACATGCGGCGATTCCAGTCCTACCCGGTAGAAATGCTTTTACCGGAAAGCGTGCGCGGTGCTTATGCACCGTGCAGCGCTCCTACCGCAAAGTTAAAGCTTCGGTGGGAGCGCGATGCACCTCGAGAACAGGATGTTAAGTGGGAGAAGTCAGACACACAAGCTTTAGTATTGCGCAGCTTCTCTTGCGAGAAACCCAAGGTATCAGTTAAAGAGTAAAACAAATACAGACGATAGGAAACGGAGGCAGGGCTTTCGACGTGGGAAGCGGAAAGGGGAAGAGGAGCAAGGGCAGACTGAAGAGAGAGGCTGCTGCTCCTCGTGATGCGCACAGCCGTTGTGTGCTGTGCTCATGGAATACGGGAGAAAGGAAAGAGCAAAGAAAGCTCGGAGGGAAGGCGCTAGTTCCAGCAAGCTTTCCACGGGAGCGCTCCATTCGATCCCCAGCATGCGTTCATAAAGAGGCTCTTCCACCAGGCTACAAAAGCTGGGAACGTAGCCCATCATTATTAATATTTTAAAAAAGTTCTTCTGGCGTCTTCCAGGGCCGTATCAGTTTCAAAGATTGCCGTCAGGGTGGGAGCAAATGAAGTTGAAATGGCCTGAACTTCTCCGCGGCCTCAGAGCGGAAACTTCTCCTCGGAGTTGAAAGCTGGTGGAATATTCATGGAAATGTAATCCGAGCGCGGGGCACCCGAGTCCGTGTCAAAACTTTGCTCCAAACCATATTTGCTGTTTGTAAAGCGGCTCCCTGGGGAGAGGCTGAGG